GAACTCTGAACTTCACCCCCCCTCCCCAGACCCCCGACGTCGTGATTTTTTCACAACGTCGACCCGCAGAGGTCTGGACCCCTTCCCCGGGACAGGTTCTTCGTCCTGAGTCGTTTTTTGACGCTCCCGAGGCCCGGTGAGGGCCCCCGGAGGCCGAAAATAATGAAAAACCTCCCGTCGTGATTTTTTCACGACGCCATGAGGTCTGGGTCTCCCCCTCCAAGCCTTCGGCAGCTCCACTGCTCCTCGTGGTGCCCCTCTCCGTCCTCCTCTCCCTCCCCCTCCCTCCGCCCCCTCGGCGGCACTCGGTCGGCGGCGGGAGGGGCGGCACCGCCACCAGGGGGGGCCACCTCCGGCGAGAGGGGGTCCGCGACGCCTCCCCGAGCTGGGGATGGGGGGCCTCCTCGCGCGCGAGGGGGTGCCACACCAGCAGGCGGATCCCTCCCCGGCGCCTCGCGGTGGTGGCGGTGGCGGAGGAGGAGGAGGAGGAGGAGGAGGAGGAGGAGGAGGAGGAGGAGGGGGAGGAGGAGGAGGAGGAGGAGGAGGAGGAGGAGGAGGAGGAGGGTAGGAGGTCTGTCCAGCCTCCGACGAGTAAGGGCGGAGCCTGCCCTTGCTCCTTGCTCGGTGGCTGCTGAGCTCGGGGGCCTGGGGCCCCCAGCCTTCTTCGGGCCCGGCGGCCTCCGGCTGCTCGCCCCTCGTCTGGCCCCGGGCGCTGCCAGAAGTGCCCCCCCTGGCCCAGGGTGCCCCCCCAGGATGTCCAGGGAGGCCCCCGCGGCCTCCAGAGCAACCCCCGGGTATCCCGAGCTGGGCGACAAAGCTGGGGGCACCGTGGGCCTGGAGCACCTTTTAGCAGCCCCCGGCCGATTCTGGTTGCGGTCCCCCCCTCCCCCGCGGGTCGGGGACATGCACGTGACCATGAAGCTCTGTGTGCTGCTGCTGCTGCGCACAGTGCAGCGGACATTTTTCGGGGTAGGCTCACGAGCGTGAGACGCTCAAAAGAGTAGTGTACACTCTGTGGCGGGCGCATGCCCGCATACCTTCAGTGCATACATGTGCGGGCGCAGACCTCTGTGCCTGGCGCATGGCATGCCCGCATACCTTCGTGTCGGCCGAATGCCCGCATACCTTGGTGCGGCTCCCTCCTTCTCCTCCTCCTCCTCCTCCTCCTCCTCCTCCTCCTCCTCCATCTCCTCCTCCTGCTCCTCCTCCTCCTCCGCCTCTTCCTCCTTCTCCTCCTCCCCCTCCTCCTCCCCCTCCTCCTCCTCCTGCCCCCCCCCTCAAGCCCGAGGCCCCCCGTCCCGGCCGCCGTGCCCGCCCGCCGCGGCCGCTGGCGCGAGGACCTGGCCCGCTGCCTGTCGCAGAGAGCGACCCCCGACATGCAGACGGAGCGGTACGTGCAGGAGGAGAAGGCCCAGGGCGCCCGCGATGCGTTCGCTGCCTGTTTCCTCCTCCTCCTCCTCCTCTCCTCCTCTTTCTCCTCTTTCTCCTCCTCCTCCTCCTCCTCTCTCTTCCTCATCCTCCTCCTCCCTCCTCCCTCTCCTCCTCCACCTTCTCGTCCTCCTCCTCCGCCTCCTCCTCCTCCTCCTCCTCCTCCTCCCTCTCCTCGTCCTCCACCTCCTCGTCCTCCTGCGCCTCCTGCTCCTCCTCCCTCTCCCAAGGAGCCACGGCGAGGCGCAGGTCGAAGGAGAAAACACGGCATACACATAAACTTCTGGCGCTCCGCGCGGATTTCTTGGGTCCGCGCGGATTTCTTGAGCCAGGGCGCCCGCGATGCGTTCCCTGAGATCCGACGCTCCAACCAAATTGGAGCAGGATGCGTTTGACAGTCTTCAGCCTCCGGGGGCCCTCGCCGGGCCTCGGGAGCGTCAAGAAACGGTCCCGGGGAAGTGGTCCGGACCTCCTGGGTCGACGCACCAAAAAAATTGTTGGGCGTTGCGTAATGGGGGGGTCATACATGGGGGGGTGGCAAGAGTGGCCCGAAAAGGTACCCAAACGGTGCCTAAACGAGCCCCCTGGGGCTCCGGAGGGGCCCGAAAGGGGCACGAAAGGGGACCTTTTCTGACCCCCCAATTTGTGACCCCCCCATTAAGCCACGCCCAAAATTGGAGCAGCCTGATGTCTGGGTTCTTCGATCGAAGAGGAACAAGCGCTCTTCGAGCAGCTTCGGGCTCCGAGAACGTGCCGTGGTAGGCCTGTGGGAGTGCCCGGGGCGGTCGGCCCCTGCTCCACGAGGGTCGAAGAAGAGAAAGAAATCCACACGGAGCGCCAAAAGTTTATGTTTATGAATGGCCTTTTCTCTTCTCCTATTCTAATCGGAAGCTGGGCGAGGGCTGCTAAAACCGTGGCTGCTAAAACGGCCCTCCCGGAAGGAAGAAACAACTTCCCGGAATGAGGCGCGGCACGCGAAACAGTCAACAGGCTTCTTCCCGGAAGGACGAAGACAACTTCCCGGAGGTCGATTTTAGCAGCCACGGATTTAGCAGCCCTTGCCCGGCTTCCAATCTAAGCCTCCTAGATGGGGTCCTATTCTAAGCCTCCTAGATGGGGTCGGAGCCGCATCGCCGATGCATCGGCGATGCGGCTCGATGTGGAGCCCGATCTTTTCCACAACGTCGTCGCCGATACGCCGCCGACGTCGTCGATGCATCGTCGATGCATCGGCGATGCGGCGCGATCCTCCGACCTCATCGACTCGGGCCCCACCTGGGAGGCCTCGATCTTCCATCTTCGTATGTGGTACGTTACTTCCATCTTTTGTTCGTCATCACCTCCATCACCCCCTCACGGACCTCGGCGCGTATACTTTGCGCCCGCTCGGGCTGCTCTTCTTGCTTCCGCCTTGTTGCCTCGCATTCTACTACCGCTGCGCGCTGCGATTCTTGAAGCAACTTGGAGCCACTTGGCCTAAATCGGTACACTTTCTGACTTCTATCATAGCAGAAGCACGCTTGCTTCGTCTTTCTTGGCTGCCTAACGCAAAGACGTCCGCGGTGCGGCTAGTTCGGCTGCGCCGCAGCCGTTGGGGGCTTCGTTGCACCGGCGAGTTGCGCCGTGCCGGGGCCCAGGCGTCCAGGCGGGGTCATCACCTGCTTTCGCGCGTGCTTGCAGCCTGCGCTGCTGCCCCGGGCCTGGTCTTGCCGCCCGCCGCCGCAGCGGCCCAGCATCCGGCTGGGCACGCCGCGCCCGCGCCCGTCCTCGGGGGACGCACCGCCATCCATTGTTGGTTTCGGCACGGTTCGCATCGCAGCCTGAACCATCTGGTTTGTCCCGGTGCCCGTACCGCGCCGGGCCCAGCCGCTGCCAGGCCCCGGCGCAGCAGCCGCCGCCTACCCGCCGGCGGGGCCGGCCGCGCCACTCGCTCCGGGTGCGGCCCGTCCTTTTGAGCGGCCCTCGCTCCCTGCATTGTGGCACAATTGGTTTCAACGGTATCCCTGTTTTACTTGCTCTCCTGCCAGCGCAGTAAGTCTAGCTGACCGCCGACGTAGCAAGCTTGCGGGCGTGCTCGGCGGGCTGCCAGCCCCATGATGCCTTCCGGCGGCTGCGCCTTGCCGAGAGCTTTCTGGGATTGCCCGCATTGTCCCAAATTGCCGGGGGGGGGGCCCGAGTTATGACCCGAAAACCACCAGGGGATAGGTTCAGGGGATGCATCGACCCCCAATCGCCCTTTGATCGTCGATGGTGGCCCGACAGCCCCACCCAGCCCAGGAGCGTGCGAGTTGCCGAGCTATCGGCGCTGCGTCGTCGATCAAAGATTGATGATTCAGTGTTCCCCCCTGAGCCGGTCCCACCCGAACATTGCCCCTCAAATCGGTTGCGTTCTGTCGATTTGGTTCGGTCGGTTGCTATGCCGCTGCCGCGCACTTGGCGCCCTCCTAGGTTGCCTGTGGCCTGGCGACTTCCGTCGACCTCGATCTCGCTGTTGGGTCGGTCGATGTTCGGCCACATTGTCGCCGTGTGCACGAGTGGAAGGCGAAGAACAGAACGGAAGGAAAGGAGAGGTTCGAGCTTCCAGGTTTCGGACGACAGTTTTTCCCACAGGCGCTGATGGTGCATCGTCTCACGGTCGTCGTCCTTCTCCTGCCTCTCTTCCGCCTCTCTTCTCCTGTGGTCTTGATCCGTCTTGGGGTTGACCCCTATCGTTCCACTCTTAGCTCAACATTTCCGCGCTCCCCACACTGACGACTGAAGAGTCAGTCGCCTCACCTTCCCCCCGCTCCAACGAACCCTGGAGAGAAAGAGGGACCTGAGCAAACACAACACATGATACAGCTCGGCGCCTTGTTTGACAATCGGTTGGGGGATACAGTCTGATCGCCCACAATGCCTCCGAAGATGTGTGGCTTCGGGTGGTACTGCACGGGGTGGTCGGGCAACAACAAGCCAACTTGAGCCAAGAGGGGCTATTGACGGGGAAGGGTGGGAGAGAAGCCTGACGAGAGAGACAGAGAGAGAGAGAGAGAAAGAGAGAGAGAGAGAGAGAAAGAGGAAAGGAGTGAGAGAGAGGGGGAGAGAGAGAGAGAGAGATAATGAGAGATAACACAATAAGAAAGGATCAGCAGGAGGAGTAGGAAGGGGAGGAGGAGACGGACGAGGAGGAGGTGGAGGAGGAGGAGGAGGAGGAGGAGGAGAGTACAGGAGGAGAAGGAGGACGGGGACGGGAGAGGAGAGTGATGGGGGAGAGGTACGAGGATGGGGGAGGGATGAGGGGGAAAAGGAGGAGGAGGAAAGGTGGGGAGGAGGAGGAGGAGAAGGAGGATAATGAGGAGAAGGAGGAGAAAGACGAGAGGGATGAAGAGGAAGCGAATGAAGAGAAGGAGGAAGATAAGGATGAATACGAGTACGAGGATGATGATGCTGATGATGATGATGGTGATGATGACGATGATGATGCTGATGATGGTGATGATGATGGTGATGCTGATTATGATGGTGATGATGGTGCTGGTGCTGGTGCTGGTGATGGTGATGGTGCTGGTGCTGGTGCTGGTGCTGGTGATGGT